ACTCAGAGTTACAGTTTGGGGGAAGGCGCTAGGGCTGTCGCAAAAGCCCTTAAGCCGAGGTTATCTAAGAAGGTGATAACAGATTTGGATGCAGATTGAGTAGTGGCCAGAAATAGTAACGGGGCTGAAATATTGCCTGAGCTCTCGTCCCATGATAATACTAGGTGAAGCAATGCGCCTACGTCGCGCGGAGATATTACGCAGATTGTGCAGGATATGGCGCTCCTTTATCGGAGTCAGAGGATTGAACACCTAGCAAACAGGACTCAGACGCCCATCGCATGTAGGGGCTTGCGAGTGAGGTAGCCTGAGATCGAGGGCAGGCATTGTGTACATTTTCTGCCTCTGATTAAACGGGTCGAAGGTGGGAGCAATCACCTATTTTCTTTTGAAATGAAGGTGTGGGTTCCACTGGGTGAGCCTGAGAACTTGAAAGACATTGATAAAACACACCCGGAGCTTGACTTCTGAATTGATGCATGGGCTTGTTTTCGCGTTCGAGGACTTAAACTGGGGTGATTTGCGTCGCAACTTGGAACTGCTGGGCGTATCGAACGTCGGGGTTGAAAAATTTCTAACCGATGGGCGCCTAATGCCAGCCGTTGAGCGCCTGGCAATTCTGCCTTCCTCTCAACCACTGGGCACCTCACGGGCGATCCACAGTGCAACCCACCCCGCCGCACCGGAACCCACACTCTGTCACGGTGCCATGGTTCTTTGCTTGGCGGGCAGGAGAGAGGCTATCGACATGTTCAATGATGTTGCCAAAATCGATATGACTCGCATGGACCGACATGCCAGCGAGCATCACACAGTCCACTTTCCAGCGGGCTGGTTCCAACCAAAACGTCGATATGCTCTGTCAGTGTGAATTTGCACAGGCGGTGAATTGATATCAAGTTGACCGAGGATAACCCCGACAGTCTCCGTATCAGTCTTACCGTTCGTTCGGGGGGTAATTTGCTTCAAAAACCCTCGGGATTCGAAGATGTCTGTGATGTAACGAAACCGCTTCAAAGCCATTGGCCAGACCGAGGAAGTACTGGCATATCTGTGGTGTGAGAGATGACCTCAGGCTTTGCCAAGACAGCAGTAAGTGTTGGCTATCTGAAGCTCGAGGCCTGGTCCGGTTTATCAATTGCGCTTCTTGGCGAATACAATCCTAGAACTGCCCTGCTTCTGGACGGCACCTTTCTTTCTTCTCCCTCTCCCTCGAAAAGGTGGCAATACGCTGGCGCGTGATGACGCTGTTCAGATATATCGGAATAAACCCACAATTCTCGACCTGGATGCAGCCTCTATCATGAGGATGATTTTCCGTGCAATATCTTCCCGATGATGTTAAACTGCGATCCGAACTGGGAGCCAGCGTTCTATTACTGGTTACCTGCAGGTCGAAAAGGATGAATGTTTCTTGCGAGGGCATGCATACACAAACCATCACGCCAACATTTACCGTCTCTCTGGATCCCTGGCCATTCCGCCGGACCTTAAGGTTGATGACTCAAGCCGCCGACTTCGTTGAACGACTCGTACCTTACCAGACCTCACGCCTTATTTGCTGTGCGCATGCGAGTTTCTTTGCCTTAAACCCACAGGCTCTGTGATTCTTCTTTGCGAACGTGCCAGTGGTATACGATAGGTTTATCAAAACAGGACATCCCAACCCCTCGGTAATCTGCTAAAATGGCGAACGGGATACCTTGCAGGACAACCAACCGCTTCTATTTCACTTACTGAGTTTTGGTACCGCATCCCGAACCACAGGATAACGTGCGAGCTGCTCCCGACTCTTTGTCACGGGTGCTCTGGGTGCTCACGACCCCGGTCGAAATTCATTCATGTATTGTTCGAGAGTGTGATTTTACACAGGCGATGGATCAATGATCCGTTTGTTTGGATCAAAGGACAGCGGTTCGGGTGCGCCGATGGCACTTTCATCATTCGCTCGCACCTCTGCTGAGAAAAATTCGCAGAATTGAAACACACAAACTCTTCGAGGTCATTGGCCAGTTCACAGTGGTAATGGCAGATCTGGCACTCTGCTGTGGGACAGATCGGTTCCGCCAAGCCCGTCGAACATGATTTCTCTCCGGATGCGAGCGCCATCCATTCCACCAACAACACGAGTCCATTTTATCCCTCTCCACGGTTGGAAAATCTCAGCATTCCATTGGATGACTCGACGCGCACCACCGACAAATCTTTTCGCAGCTCATCGGTTCGCTCCCGCCTCCGCTTCCGTCATGCAAGCGCGAAAAGTGTATAAAAGCGCGTTGGTTGCGCTCAGTAAATTCAGCAGCGGCTTTCAACTGTCCACTGTTTGCAATGGCCATAAAGTCTTTCCTAGCCTCGCTCGTCACGGTCGTCGCGCTTTTCCAGGCTTCGCAAGGTTGGCTTTATTGGAAGTTTTTTGACGTGATTCCTTAATTGACGATTTTCTGTTATCAGCTGGTGTCGTGAAGAGAGCTGTACAATGCCGTGGGACGGCGCACACAGCGGCCAATCCGGCAGTGAGTCTCAAAAATGTCTTTCCTTAGGGATATGTTTTCAACCTGTCGATGAAGTGCTGTTCGTGGTTCAGAGTGTTGGATGACCTCCAGAAAAACGTGTAAGCTGCACGGCCATCGTCACTGAATCTTTATTTGTCTAATTTCCCAATTACAGCTTATTTTCTGAGTGCGGTGAAGCGTCGCATTCAGCTTTGCGCATTGTCTTCCACGATGCCATTGGATTTTCGAAAACGAAGAACTTTGGGTAAGTCGCTTGACAGCACGCTCGTTCGAATCCTTTACTCACAATATGCATGCATCAGCGGTGGCGCAGACGGCAGCATAATCATGTTCGATGACCCCGAGCTCGGGTATGGTATGTCTATATTGCTGCTGAACTGTCTGGCGTATTAATTCACGCGATCCATATCTAGCCGCCAACAACGGCATCGATGAAATCGCCGATGACTTGAGGCCGGTCGCTGATGCTCACGGGAAGTCTTACGGTGATATCATTCAATTTGCCGGTGCTGTTGGCGTCGCGAACTGTGCTGGTGCGCCTCGCCTGAAGTTCCTCGCTGGACGACCGAATGCTACGGCGCCGGCACCCGATGGCACCGTGCCAGACCCTTTCCAGACCGTACCTGTTATCCTTGCACGTATGAAGGACGCAGGATTCAGCCCGGAGGAGATGGTGGCGTTGCTCGCCTCCCACACCATCGCGGCTGCCGTGAGCATTTATCCTCTCCTAAATTCGATCGTATGTTAACTGGTTCCATGTCGTGTTGTAGGACAAAGTAGACGAGTCGATCCCAGGCACGCCGTTCGATTCGACGCCCGACGTCTTCGACACCCAGGTTTTCATCGAGACACAGTTGCGCGGACTCACCTTCCCCGGTACTGGTCCTCACCTGGGTGAAGTCGCATCCGGACTCGTCGGCGAGATGCGTCTTCAGTCAGATCACAATTTTGCCCGCGACGACGCAACATCATGCACATGGCAATCGCTTGCTAGTTCGTATTTTCCATCTACCCGCCATTGTCGAAGTTGACTTGAATATCTGCTTCATAATATGTAGACAACCACAACTTGATGAACCAACGCTTTTCCGCTGCTATGGACAAGCTCGCTGTTCTCGGGCAAAACGTAAACAAGCTGATCGACTGCTCTGAGGTCATCCCAGTCCCGAAGACCACAACCGTCACACCGCACTTCCCTGCCGGCAAGACAAACGCAGATGTCGAGCAAGCTGTCAGTCCCCATATTTACTTTAGTGTTTGACACATTATTCATCGTGTGCATGTTTGACAGTGCGCAACCGCTGCATTCCCGAAACTGCCCACCTTGCCTGGCCCTCCAAAGGCCGTCCAACCAGTGTAAGCTCCACCGTCTCCTTGTGATTTGGCAAATTTTAAACAAAATCTCTTCGCAGCCCGGGAGGAACGTAATCAGACGTTGTCGTGGTGTCCATAAATATCGTCGAATTCATCCCTGATTAGTTGTCAGCCTATGCCTTTCTCACCACTTTGTTACATTTGTTTCTGGGCCGTTCGTAGGGTAATTTTTGTTGATTAGCCAGTTAACGTAAGGTGTAATTTAGAATTAACAGTGAAATTGATGTGCTACCCCAAGTATTTGGTTTTCCCTTGAGACAGAGGTCTTTCTTGGCGACCCGTACGGAATTGGTGTCAGGCTGTTTTCAAACTATAAATTAAAAATTCAACAAGGATGGGGATACCAGTCGAGATATAGCGATTGACAATCTATTGTAGAGTGGCATACATCATAGGCAGAGCCCGGTTGAGATAGCGCAGCTCTCGAGATAACATGTCTCTAAGATGAGGTGAGGGGAACAAACCTCTGGTGATAATATTAATGTCGCATATAATGTACCTGTACTGGCCTGGATCATCGATCACGGGGGAAACAGTGGGAAGGTGAGCTCGCGCGCCAGATTAACGGGAGTTTATCACCTCAGACTCACCTTCAAAATTCCGGAATGCAGAGTTCTTTAGACTTCGAAATGAAGATTTGAGTGTGGCGCTTCTGGAGGTGGCGAGAATTGCCTAATTGGGAACTGTGGCGCGAGCCTCGCCACATCGACGAGTCTCTAATATTTCCCTTCCTCCGAGTTCCCCCTTCATCAAAAACACAATGAAAATCATCGAGGTCGTTACAGCTACACATCTATGTGCTAAATTGGCGATTCAGGCTGAATGTTAAATTATTTTCCGGGACATTTCCGAGTTTTTCCCCCACTCTGCTTTGATGTACAGGCACAACAGGCGTACATCTCCCAAGCCATTCTCCCAAACACCCAGCACCACCCAACATTCAAGGATCATTTATAGTGTTTACTGGCATCTACTGACGTGTTGTGATGGGTTTACATGTGTTTCAATTGCACTAACTTGTGGCAATTTTGGTATTTTCGACTTTTCTCGATCAATTCTCAACTCCCCGAGTTCCAAACAACTTCTATAACGTTCCGAATATGTACGCGAAAGGGTCTTATAGTGTAGCGGTTATCACTCGGGATTCTGACTAAGCAACGGACCTTCCCGCGACCCCGGTTCGAACCCGGGTAAGACCTTGAAACTCTTTGCCCACCCTTTTTCTGTGATTTGCACCTAACCACCAACCACCATGCCACCGCCAATTCCACACAAAGACGTCTCCTCACCGATCAAATCAAAGACGAAAGGTTTGTTCTCTCGTCTCCCACAATTCCCCTCTCCTAAATCACGCTCAGGCTCCTCTTCCATCGCAAGCCGTAACTATGGCGCGAACGCGAAAAAATACTACCTGATAGTGTACAACGTCCTTTCAACGCTCGGGTGGTCGTACATCCTCGTCCGCCTCCTCCTGCACCTCTCCGGGCTCACCGCATCCGCTCCGCCCCCCTCATCGCGCGCCACGCAAACAGCCAGCACCCTCCTCTCGCGCTTCTTCACCTCCGTGCCCCTCCCGCTCCTCCGCTCCACTTCGCGTTCCGCCGGATACAAAGCTGCGTTGGGCAAGTACGTCCACGCGCCGAAGTGGTTGCAGGTGTGGTTGACCACGCTGTATGGACGCGCGGAGACGACGTATGGCGCGGTGGGCCCGACGACGGCGTTCGTGCAGACGTTCGCACTGTTGGAGGTGATGCATGCTGCGCTCGGGTGGGTAAGGAGCCCCGTGCAGACGACCGCGATGCAGGTTGCGAGTAGGCTTTATTTGGTGTGGGGAGTCGTGGAGCAGTTCGATTCTGTGCGTACTCGTCCTCATTGGCTTGCGTTCGGGCTCATTAACGATTTTTTTTTTCGATGATGCTAACAGGCGCGTACTTCGCCCCTATACGCCTCGATGGTCTTCGCGTGGTCGCTCACAGAGGTCATCCGTTACTCCTTCTACGCGCTCTCCCTGCTCTCCTACGAGCCCTCCTTCCTCCTCTACCTCCGCTACACAACGTTCTACGTCCTCTACCCGCTCGGCGCGGGCAGCGAAGCGTTCGTCAACTACGCGACCCTCCCAGCTTCCTCCCCCCTCCCCACCCCGAGTTCATGGGCCAGAGGCATGTGGGGTGTGATGGACTATATTCGCGGCGCGTTGTTTTTGATATGGTGGCCTGGTGAGTCGTTCTTTGTAAAATTGTCTAACTTTAGACTGAACGACGTTGGATAGGCTTGTATGTGATGTATACGTACATGATCAAGCAGCGCAAGAAGGTATTAGGAACGGGTCCAGGCTACAGGATCGGCGCGAAGCCAAAGACACGTTGAATAGCGGCGTTTAGAAGATATTTTTGAGTTGTATCTTGATTATTCTCCATTTCCTAATATCTAATGACCTTACTTACGACTTTTGATGTACGTCCGATTAGACAAATCCTTTTCATTCCAATCATAACAACAGGAGAGCACAGCGGGGGAATAAATTTAATAGCTAATGGTACAAGTTTTTTCTTACCAGCATAACAACGGCAAGGGGCTGCGCAACGGGAAACGAAAGTCGGAAATAGTAAATAGCAACGTCGAAACGCAAGTCCTCGGTCGGTTCAATCCTTCCCATCGTTCTGGTCCATCCCCTGCTGCTGTCTCCCCTGTTCCTGCTGCTGCTGTTGATCGTGGCCCTTCATCTCCCCGCCCTTCTCACCCATCGCATTGTTGTTAACGCTGTTCGCTCCACCCGCATTCGCCGTGAGTTGCGCCTGCGCCTGTTGCAGTGCCGAGCGCAAAGCGGCGTTCTCGATGCGGAGTTGGTCCACGAGGGTGCGGCATTCCTCCCAGCGCCGGTTAGCCTCGTCCGCCGATGCGAGCGCGGCGTCCAGCAGCTGGGAGCGCGACTCGAGGGCTTTGACGTGCCTGTTAGCGCAAAATGTCAGCATCACGACCACGTGCTCCATCGCGATATGCGCAAAGTCTAAGCGGTAGTACATACTGGTCTCGCCGTTCCCGAAATGCCCGCTGCGCCTTCCGATTCTGCTCGGCGCGCTTGCTCGTGCTCAGCTGGCGTTGCGCCTGGGTCTGATTGGGGTCGTCCGGGCCCATCGGCTGCATGCCGGCCATCGCGCCGGGTTGTTGTTGTTGCGGTGAATGCTGCATGTGTGGGATGCCCGCTGTTGAGTAGTCTGCGCCCGGTGCGTAATAGGGCAGTTGAGGTGGCGGGCCTAAGTTGGGTTGCTGTTGCATGCCTGGTGGCGGCTGCATGGTCTGCTGCATCTGCTGCTGCTGCTGCTGCTGTTGAGGTGTAGGTGGCTGTTGTGAAGAGCCATCCGCAGCGCCTTCTGGTGGGGACTTGCGTTTGCCCCTGGTACCGCGCGGAGGGGGCGCTGGTGGTATCTCGTTGCGGAGCTCCATGTAAGAGGCGATGGGATTCTTTGAGGATGCATCAGAGGCTTGCTGAGGTAGTTGGTGGTTCGAATTCGGGTAGGGTGAGAGGGCTATAGTAGGATCTATTAGTCAGACACATTGCCATATCCCAAAATGCGAATACGATAAGAGAGAAAACGGGGTAAATGGAGACCTACATCGCTTTGGATCGATATTTGGGTTGTCTGTTCGCTGTGGGCCGCTTGGAGCAGCAGTTGTGGCCATTGTGCTGTGTCGCAGAGAAATGTGGGTTGCTTATGAGAGAAAGAATGCTGACGAGGGCATGTGTCACCCCCCAAACAAGCTGACTTATACAATCTCTGTGTACCCCTGTTTGCTGCATCACATAATCTGTCCATTTATGGCCATCCCTTTCGGCCTTAAGTAATCACCCCGAAATTTCCCTCCCGTCCCGGCTTGCCCCTCAATACAAAAATTCACACCCGCGAGCTTTGTTCTCTGCAACCGACGCTACCAAGTCACATTGAGGTGAGTCTAAATGACCTGCTACCACACGTCGAGCCCACAGGCACCCACAACACGAGGCGTCTTTCGTCAAGACGAAAAGACGCCACTACCGCCGCATGTCCCGGACATTCCCACGAAGGCTAGACAAATCTCTACATCATCATACTAGCGAGCCCGCCCGACGCGTAAGCCATCGGCTTCAGCGGAGGATGCGGCGTGGCCTCGAATTGTCGGTAGTCGCAGTGCCCAGCCGCGTCCACGCGTACCTGTCCCGAGCCCATGTGTCAGTGAAATACAAGAAACAATAAAGTCAGGATGGTGGGCTCACAAATGCACCCTTATTTCCCGCCTGATCGACATAGTTAGGCGCCGAAAACACCTGTTTGACAAGAGCAGAAGAGAAGTTTTTCGGCGGATGGTCAGTATCGCCGGACTGCGCGTCTAGATCAGATAATGATTGTGACGAACCGTCGTGCAGAGGCCCTCGTGTTCAACTGCATATCCGTCTAATTCCGAACATACATTAGCATCCTCTGTCTTCACATAGCTTCTCGAAAATAGCAAACGCACCTTGTCGTACTTCATGACTGCGGAATATACCTGTCACCTTGTTCGCCACACACCACTTCCTCGTCACGTCCGGTCCAAACGCAATACCCACACCCTTTCAAGTTGAAATCACAGACCATTCCTCATCAGCACCCCAGAAAATCACACACTTCCCAACACGAAAAATTACTCACCCGCTTACTTGGTCCACGCCCGGGCATCTCCTGCGGGTCCGTCCACAACAACTCGCACATGAGCCCTTCCTGACCGGGCTGCCGCCCGATCCTCGGTATCTTGCGAATATCGTCAAGTGTGACGTCGTCTTTGCTGAATAGGCCGCCATGCACGACGAAATACCGCTTGCAGCCTGTCGGCGAGAGGATAGGCGGCGTTTTCGGCGAAGTAATGGGTGGTGGAGGTTGTGTCGAGGTTATGAGGGTTGCTAATGGGACTGAAGAAAAGTGCGTAAAGACGAGGAAGAAGATAAAAGGCAGCGAGACTCACGGGCAGTGAATACGTGCGCGAAGAGCTGTAGTGGCTGTTTTAACAATTTTTCTCCCGGAAAGATCAAAGATGACGCTACCTTATACGTCTGTTCGCCGTGCTTATGCTTCGCCTCTCCCTCAAATCCATATGACCGATTCATGTCTTTCGTCTCATGGTTCCCGCGGTTGATATACATTCGTTGCGGGTACAACCCTGTTCTTCAGTCGTCAGCCCTATTCACGACGCATTGAATTGTGCCAGGCGACATACATTTATATGCAAACGCGGTGACGATGACCTCGATGGACCATGATCCACGATCGACAAGGTCGCCATTCATCAATAAACAATGCTTGTCACTCGGTTGGCCCGTCATATCAAATAGATGCAGCATATCATAAAATTGACCTACGCAGCACCGTCAAAATGAATCAATCCAACAATTAATACTCGCCTCATCACAGCAAAGAATGACATGAAACGCACCATGCACATCCCCAATGACATCCACCGTCATCCCATCCTCCAATGTCACATCTACCATACTCTCCTCCTTTACGAAGGTCTCATAGGCACCCAATACGATTTCCCAAACGTACCGCCGCGGGAGGGATTTCCCTGCTTTGAACCACTCGAGCATGGCGGTGATGAAGGATTGCGTTATGTGGTACTTTCCGGTGGTTTCGTCGCTAGGTAGTTCTGGGCCGGCGTAGGATTTTTCAACGATGCAGCCGCCTGTTCATGGTGGTTGAGAAATAGATAAAAGGGAAAAGGCGAAGGTTCGCACCTTCTTCAATAATCTCAAGGCATCGTTCCGTCGCGGGCTTCTCTTCTTCCATCTCAATGGCCTAGTTAAATGCGCAGGATTAAACTTTAAAACAATAAAATCACTAGAGTCTTGGAAACATCGTATACCTTTTCAAATTCAATTCTCCGTATTAATTTTTGCGTCGTCTCCATCTGTGACCGCGCCAATTTGTTCCCTGGATCGAGGACGAGGACTTTTTTGAAATCCGCCACGGCAAGTTGGGGCTTCATGATTTGCAAATGGCACAGCGCACGTCTGCCTCGTTATAATAATTAAAAGGTTTATTCTGTCGGTGCAGAACGAAATGACGAAGGCGGCGAGGGATCGTACCGGTAGTATGCCTTGACATATTTTGGGTCCAACTCGATCGCTTTGGCTATTGAACGGGTGGATAAGTAAATTGGAGGAAAATAATACTGCACGTGCGAGACG